CAGCAGCCCCCCCTGGAGGAGAGTTGCCCCCAGGCACAGCCGGCACGGAGCAGCATGCCAAGGACATGGCAGCCGGGCAGCAGGGATAAGACTCTACCCTTGTGCCCTATCATGCGCAGATGATGCTGCGGGGTGCAGATGGACGGCATGGCTGCCTTGGCGCTGCTGGGCAGCCTGGGCAATCTGCGGCAGGCCATGGAGGTGGTCGGTGGCCCTGCGGGCAGACAGAGCAGGAGCAGGGTGGGCAAGGGTGGACTGGACACAGGTGGGGCAGCGGGGCAGGTTTTGGGCACTCAGTCTCTAAAAAGTTCACCATCACTGTCTTAGACTTTCAATTGTCATCCCAGAGTTATGTGCCAGCCAGTAACTATCAGGTCTTGCGATCTCCTGACGATAGCAGGGCCATGAAATCAGCCAGGTTTTAATAAAAACCTTGAGGTTGTTGTTGTTGGGAGTTTCTGCACAGACCAAGGTAGAAACTGGGGCTGTGGAAACTGGCTACTTTCAGGGCATCTCAGGTAGCATTAAGAAGCTGCTGGCAGCTTGTAAAAGATTTGGGTATCATCTTGCTTATTATGTTTTGCTTTTAACTCTGGCTGAGCTAACAAAAAAGCTTAAAGCCCCTTTATTCACTGGTGTGCTTATTGTCTCTGAATCCAAAAGAAACAATTGCCTAGGCACCTGATCACTGCCCTGACATTTGGCAAAACATCTTCCTACACTGAGCTGGAAGCATTGCAAAGAGTTTCTCCATGTATTCACTTCAATGCAAAACAAAACTCCTCACAGTCAAGAATGCTCCTTTGTCAAACATCACTGTTTGAGTATTGTTGTTGTTAATTGCGAAGTCGTGTCCGACCCATCGCGACCCCATGGACAACATTCCTCCAGGTCTTCCTGTCCTCTACCATCTTCTGGAGTCCATTTAAGTTCACGTCTACTGCTTCAGTGACCCCATCCAGCCACCTCATTCTCTGTCGTCCCCTTCTTCTATTGCCCTCAATCTTTCCCAGCATTAGGCCCTTCTCCAGTGAGTCCTTCCTTCTCATTAGGTGACCAAAGTATTTGAGTTTCAACTTCAGGATCTGGCCTTCTAAAGAGCAGTCGGGTTTGATCTCTTCTAGGACTGACCGGTTTGAACACCTTGCAGTCCAAGGGACTCGCAGGAGTCTTCTCCAGCTTGAGTATACAGAGGTGGATAATGACAAGCAAGATTCTACTGGGGTTTACAGTGTTAATGATTTCTGGCACTGTTCATTCCAATACACACATTTGTTCTTTTCATGTACCATTGTTTCATTGGAAGGAAGGAAGGAAGGAAGGAAGGGAGGGAGGGAGGGAGGGAGGGAGGGAGGGAGGGAGGGAGGAAGGAAGGTTCGAATAATTCCTATCTCTTTTTTAAAAATGAAATCTGTTTGTTACAGGCAATCAGCAAAATGGCAGCATAATATGAACTTTGATCAAAGAAGGCACAAATAAACTAAGTGTCCTTTCTTAATTTCTTTAGGTTAATTAAATATTCAGCTTTGCAAGGTTCTTCACATTGAATTCCTGATAATAATTAATCACATTGTGATTTACCAAACAGAGGAGTAAAAGAAGAAGGTCAAGGCCAAAATGTATTATTTGCATTTTTATAGCTAATAAAAATAAAAACGTAACAAATTTTCACAATGCACGTTCTAATGAAAATAGAACCTCAACTGATTGCTTTACTTGAGCCAGGTTTAATCCCAATTGTATTTTGATTAGCTAAAATCAATGCTGTTAAATAATCTGCCACAAGTGACATTCTAAATAGAGCAAAGAATCATTTATAATAATGTGAAATTCTTTACTTTTAAATATATTTCATACATTATTTGGGGATTTAACATTTTTTCCTGATTGGTGCTAGGCAACTTAAATGGATGTTAAGTAGATTGCTGTTTTTAAAGTGAGAGCATTGTAATTTTTATTATATTTAGCAAGGAAAAGGAATACCTTAGTGAAAAACAAAAGTATTTTCAGAACTGTCATGTGTCATCTATCTCCTTTAGCTGACATCTGGATTTTCTAGTCTAGCAATAATATATATTGCTTTGTACAGTACTTGTTTTTCAATTTTCTATTCTAGTGCTATTGCTGTGAATTTCAGAGCAACACATTTCTTTCAAAACGTTAGAAGATCTCTTTTGATACAAAAATCCAATTCGGATTTAGCAGAGGTTCCTGTATGCAACTTAGGTACTGGGCTGTTGTATCTGAAAGATATGAAAAATGTCAAATAAATAACTGCCAAGGTCAGACAGATAAGATAATATGTCTCACTGTTACCTTATCATGAGAAATTTATACAGGTGTTACTTTTTAGGACTTCAAGATGTCAAATGAAAATTCTTAAACAACAAACAGTAGAAAACAGTATAAATTACTGAGAGCAGCTTAATGTTCTGCACATATTGTGAATCACAACTGACTGTCATAGGAGTTGTGTTCTACAAGCATTGGGAGTTGTAGTCAAAAATATTTTAAGAACATCATGTTCAGTTGAAGGCTCAGGCACTTTAGAGCTCACTCAGAAAAGCACCTGTAAAATGTAAAATGAAATAAAATTTCCTATTTTCTCTACTTAAGTAGTTTAAAATATAGAACAAGATGTGTATGTATTTGGGAAAAGCTAGCTTATGATATGCTACATTCAAAGGATTACATTTTATTAAATGTATTTTATTTATTTATTCTGTTTCATATAGTGATTGTTTTCAGACTACTAGAACATGGACAAAGAAGCAAAGATCACTTAAAAAGATATTAGTTTTGCCATTAAATCCATAAACAATCTTTTCTGAAAATATTTTAGTTAAACTCTCTTTCTTTCACAGTTGATCACAAAAGCCACAAAATGGTATCCTTTTCATCACTACCCATTAAATCATCCCAATATGCTTCAAGTTCAGAAACCAGCCATAGGACTAGCCTTCCACTTGCTAATAACTCATAAATGCACTCTAAAACAGTTTCTCTACAGCAAGGGTCCTCAACCTTGGCAACTTTAAGACTTATGGACTAATTCCCAGAATTCCTTAGCCAGTGCTCGCTGAGGAATTCTGGGAGCTGAAGTCCACAAGTCTTAAAGTTGCCAAGGTTGAGGACCCCTGCTCTACAGCACGGATGTCAAACTCACCACATCACGTGACGTGTCACGATGTATCACAACTCTTTTTGCATTGCCGACAATGGGGTCGGCGTGGCTTCAGTATGATGAAACTGGCCCGTGGGCTGGCAGTTTGATTCCCCTGAAGGGTCTGCAGATTTCGAAGTGTTATCACTTGGTATTGTGAATCTGAAGCTCACAAAGCTGGAACTAAATATTGTTCATTTTTAACATAGCCAATAGCTGAGAATAAAAAAATCTTCCCTTCCAAACTGGAGAAATATTCAAAGTTTCCAGTTTGTGAATTAAGAAATTTCCTCCCCCCCTTTTTTTTTCTTCATAAAAAAGAGAAGGAAGGAGGTTTCTTGTGCCCACTTAGAATGTCCCTATTTTGCCAGCTAATAGATCGCTGACAGTTGGGACCAGAGGGCTGCTTCCCTCTGCTAATGGCAATGTAAAACTGCCAATATTGATTTCTCCCCCTCCCCCAGAGATCCAGCTAAGGATTTTTGGTTAAAATTACTGGGTCGTGTACATGATAGGGCAACTGTAGAAAATGTGCAAAGTGGCTGTGTTGACATACCCAATATATTTAATCTTGTCTCTGATTTAACCATTTTTTAATTCATGCAGTACTTTGAAGTCACCAGTCAATCGTTTTTTGCAAAAGTGGCTAAGCCATAAAAATCCCAACCAAGTTTAGCATGAATCAGTTTATACAAATACAGTCACTGGTCCTGGATAAGAATACTGTCTCAACACAGGCAGGAAAGTATGGTATTTCCAAATGTAAATTCATTTACTTTACCTTTTATGTAGGCATACACACCTTCAAATTCACAAGTGACACACACAGAACCCAGATCTTTTTATTAAGTAATTATTTAAGAGTTTTCACATGACAGTCAAACATTGACTCTAATAAGTTTTTTCCCCAACAGAATGTACTGCTAATCATTTGCCACTGATAGCAGACCCAAAATAAAAAAAAATCATTTTTTAAATGTTATAATCAATATTAAAACATTGTTTTGAGTCCTACTGATTTAACCAGATTGGTTTTAGCATGTGCAATGTGAATTTAAGAATAAAGCCAATATATTTCCTAATCACATCAAAATTGCCTAAAGTCAAGGGATCTACATCAATTCAAATAAACAATAAAAGTTCCTGAATGTTCTCTTAATGTCTGCTAAACCTCTGTGATCTCAGGCAATGCCTTTAAAGAATCATTAGAATGCACATTTAATTGTGTTCTTTGTCTTGGTATTCCAAGACCAGCAAGAGAAACTTATTCAGATGCTTATTAAATCTATTCCCAATGAAACAGATACAGAGCTCTAAGGTATTTGGAATCTAGCAGTTGAACTATATTTAGTTTTTGCACTGATAACAGAACACTGGGAAAAGAGCAAGATCTCATTTATTTACAGTGCTGTGTCCAGATTACAAGGTCACCTTTTGTTCTAGTGAAGTCTTAAAAAAAAAAAAGCACTGGTTATACCTAAATTCAAGGAACATTTAAATTATTACTTAGGTCTCAGAGTTCAGTCCAAGGCTTAAGTCTGTAGGCTATTTAATTTGTTATATCAACAAATGGATGAATGGGAAGAAACCATAAAATACAATGTAATACTAAGCAAAAGTGTTGCTTCAAGGGTATCATTGGGCACACTCAGCTAGTTGAATATGGTCTCTGCCCAATGACAGTTTATATGCCAAAGGAGACCAAACTACTGGATAAAGTATCTAACCCATCAAAGTGACCTGATGTATTATAGTAGTTTAAAGATCTAATAAAATGGTGTTAAGGAGCATTGAAGCAGAAAACAAGAATAATAACCTTTTAATTTTCCTTTCTCAGGTGTTGGTATCAATTTCCTGCACAGCCTCTAGCAAAACTGATCACAATGAATCTAAATATCTCTGCAGAAGAGACCGATAAAAAGAATCCCATTGACTGTCCCTCCTTGGGAAGACACAGCTACATTTTCGTTATGGTTCCGACTGTTTACAGCATCATCTTTGTCATTGGTATATTTGGAAACAGCTTGGTTGTGATTATCATTTACTTCTGCATGAAACTGAAAACTGTGGCCAGTGTATTTCTGCTTAATTTAGCTCTGGCAGATCTGTGTTTCCTAGTAACTCTGCCATTGTGGGCAGCTACAACAGCCATGAAGTACCATTGGCCTTTTGGCAACTCCTTGTGTAAGATTGCTTCAGTTGCAGCAACCTTCAATATGTATGCCAGTGTCTTTCTCTTGACATGCCTCAGTGTAGATCGTTACTTAACAATAGTGCATCCCATGAAGGCCCGCCTTCGACGTACAATGCTTGTTGCCCGGGTAACTTGCATCAGTATCTGGCTATTGGCTGTCCTTGCCAGCTTGCCTGTTGGGATTCACCGCCGCGCATATGTCCTTGAAAATGAAAACATCACAGTATGTGCTTTTTGGTATGACACACGCAGGAATTCAACCAGTCGCATAACTATCAACATTGGGTTAGGCCTATCTAAAAATATTCTGGGCTTCTTAATTCCTTTTGTGATCATTTTAATAAGCTACATATTAATCTGGAAAACTCTGAAAAAGGCTTACCAGTTTCAGAAGAATAACGGCAGAGGTGATGACATCTTCAAGCTGATTGTTGCAATAGTTCTTTTTTTCTTTTTTTCTTGGATTCCTCATCAAATATTTACTTTTATAGATGTGCTGATTCAGCTTGATGTGATTAAGAGCTGTGATGTTGAAGATATTGTGGATACAGCTATGCCCTTCACAATCTGCTTAGCTTACTTTAACAACTGCCTGAATCCTATCTTTTATGGCTTTTGGGGGAAAAACTTTAGAAAATACTTCCTTCAGCTACTCAAATATATCCCTCCAAACGTCAGGCATTCCAGTTTGTCGACAAAGATGACTTCTCTTTCTTATCGACCGTCAGAAGATTTAATCCGCAATTCCAGACAAAAAGGATCTCTGGTTGTGGAGTGATAATATGGCAGCACATTTTTTGCTATTAGTTGGTCAGAGCGACACTACTCCTCTTCTGCAGGGTTGGACCATCTGAAATATTTCATCCTTATGAAAACTGGGGCCTACCTTCATGTTATGAAGAGGAACATCCTAAACAAAGAATGCAGGCATCTTGCCTTCCAGTGTCAGAGTTTGGTGGCAGATAATGTGTGGTAGAACATCTAATCCATCTACATGTAGAAAAATCTCTGAAATTATCTTGTGTTCTCTTATACATAGGTGTTCTGTAGAAGACTTGTTTCAGAGTCCTGAGAGGAAAGGGAAAGGGAAAGGGAAAGGGAAAGGAAAGGAAAGGAAAGGAAAGGAAAGGAAAAAGGAAAGGAAAGGTGTATTTCAAGAAAGTGAAAGAACTTCCTGCTTAACTATAATCAAACCCTCCCTGTACTATATGTAATTACATACACCTATCTTCTTCAGAGCCTGAAAAGTACAGAACTGAACTCATGTATATCAGTAATATCATAAAGTTTTGAAATAAGGGTAAAAATTTAATCAATATAGAATGAATCCATATTTAGATAGAATATTTTTCTATGTTCAATTAACACTTGCCACATATACAACTAAAGTATCACATTCAAAATACAGCACTGTTTCTAAATGTAGTTGAACAAAAGCTTCATTCTGAAGTTATTTCCCTCTCTGAGTTTTTGGCAAAATATATCTGTGGAAAATTTCTGTTTACTTTCACACAATTTTAACTGCCTTTCAGAAGTATTACTACATCACTGCTATTGTTTATTTAGTACAGTTCCTTTCAAAATGGGTGTTAATACAGAAAGGTTTTGATAATACAACCTTTTCTTACTGGTATCTTCTAGATGATCCAGATTACAGCTATAATGACTGCTGTACTATCAGCTCTGTGCAATGTATCTGGGAGACACTTTATAGGTCATAACCTGCATCTTGACTTAACTGAATTCAGAAGCAAACTGGCAACCAATAAAGCTTGCAGAGCAGAGGTTCAACATGCCTCAGTCTTGTGGTTCATATAACTACCAGTGCCATCACATTTCGCACCAGCTGTAGCTTCTAGATACTTAGATTCCAGGGAGATGGGAGTCACAGGGCAACTTGATACACAGAAAATGTCTCACAGGTACTCAAATTTGCATGTGGTAAATGTGCATTTGGGAATTCAAGGAGGTTGAACTCTACATATCTTAAAGTTGCCAAGTTTGACAATCACTACAGTAGGACCAACCAAATATGGGTGATGCCAAAAAGGCACTCATCCGTCATCCCTGTGGACATACACACATGTGTACACAAATAAATAGACATACTATATTAATGCTTTATAATATATGAACAAGACCCATTAAAGTATACAAAAAACGAACCAAACGAATACTCAGTGTCTAGGGCTATGTCAGCAATAAAGAGGTATTGATAGTATAGAAGAGGAGTGTCAAACTTGCAACATCACATGACGTGTTGTGATGTATCATGACTTTTTTTTCCATTGCCAGGAATGGGGTGGTTGCGGTTTTGCCATGATGCATCTGGCTCGCGGGCCGGCAGTTTGACAACCTGGTATAGAACTTCTGGTAGGATCAGTAGGTATTAAAATCAGATGGATTTATTTTCTAATTGCAAACTAAGCACCTGTGCTGTCTATATTCTTTTAGCATCTGTTATCAATCCCCAGAGCTATATTTCTGTGTATACTTTTTGCATACTTTTAAATCTGTAAAACACTTATTTTGTGCAAAGAAAATCATGCAGCTATAATTTTACATTAATTAAAACTACCCTTGATCATAGTGAGGATTTATATCCAGTATTTTAATTCAGTATCAGTAATGGTCAAATAACTGCAAGCAAAGGAGCCAGAGATTAATAGTCATACCCACTGCTGGACTTATCTCTGTCTTTTTAACAGAACATTGGATCAGTGCTTCTAAGGCTATGTAAAACTGGCTATCTTAGTCTCCAGGTGGTAAATCCTGCATTGCCAAACAGTCAAAGGATATGGATTACTTGTTTAACATTGCTATAATGGTATATTACAACTTTCCTTTAAGAAAAATATATATTCTGATAACATCTGCTTTGAAGATAGTAGAAGGATCCTTTATCTCTATTAACATCTCTGTGGGTGCAAGACTTTTAATTAAAACATTACTTTAATGCCTTTAAGTAAAACATTGTGTTCCTTCACCTGTTACAATACCAATTCTTCACTCTTGGTGATGTTGACTGGAACTATTAAGAGTATAGCTTAGCAATATATTTAAGAGAAAGATGCATCACACTGTCATAAGTCATCAAGATATAAATAGAAAAGGAGAATTCTGTTGTCCGAAGCATTCTCTTGCATAAAGATTCCCCAAACATGAAGGACTCAAATTACATAGAGAAAAGATAGCATATGATGTCCAGATGTTCTACTGGAAAGTCTAAAGTAAAGTAGGATGCATGCATGCATCAATAAAAGTAGAACTATTTCATAAGCTGAGACAAAATTTTATTTAAGTCTTCGATCACATGACAAAGGTAGTCAAAGTAGAACTATTTCATAAGCTGAGACAAAATTTTATTTAAGTCTTCGATCACATGGCAAAAGGTAGTCAATTTCAAATGTGAGTGCAATTGTCCTTTTTAATTCCAACTGAACATCTGCATTTGTTTCTTAAAGGATCAACATAAAATTATGCATTTACTTTTATTGTCATCTTCATTTCAAAATATCATCTTGAAAACAGATCACATTGCTCTCTGTTTAAACAAAAAACATACATCAATTCTTTTTATTTTCAGTTATTGCCACATCTATTAGAAACACTTTTTTTCTGCTGGCAGAATTATTTTTAAATGTTGGCTTGCTAAATTTGTAAATGAAATTATATTTATTTCTATTTATTAATAACAGTACTTTATTCTACTCATTTCCTCCCATCATGAATGTAAAGTAATTTCTTGGATATTTAGTATAAAATGTAAACATCCACAGAATGGATTAACTTGCAGAAAGGTAACAATCAGTTGGTGATACAGAAAACATGCAAAACAAAATGTATTTTTTTATGATATTTTGGTTAGTGATTCCACAATAATATATATTTGAAAACATTGATATTAGAAGTCTGTTTAAAGTATTTGTGAATTATCTATGGATTTAAATTTCTTTTAATAGTTTCATCCTTGCACAATACAAAAATATTCATTGTATCTGAAATTTAGTTTCATGTTTGATACATCTAATATCAAAAGCAAACAAATTGTTAATGTTTGTAGTTTCCTTATATTTCTATATCTTATGAAAGCTGTGAAAAATAAAATTCATATATATTAGTTTTCAAAATATCATAATTGTTCTCACATTTGTGTTATTACAGATCACTAAGTCCAGAGCTAGCCAATATTATTTCTTAAAAGAAGCAAATATGGTCATTTTTTTAGCAGCCCAATAAAAAGGACTCATGGTAAAGCAGAGAACCATGTACATTGGAATGCTGAAATGAAAATCTTCCATTTACTGACATGCTTGTTTTAGTGCGGATGGCTCTTTCATTTAAAAATATGGTCCTGGATTTCTTACCATGATCTTTGAGACTAAATGTCTTGGATCCAGGTTTCTGAAACGACAGTTTCTCTCATGTGAACTCACACTTTCTATAAAATAAGATCCAAGTATCAAAGATCAACCACAGTATCCAGGATGTCGTTGAAAATTGACAAAGAATAAAATAGCATAGCATTTAGAGTTATATACCACTCCACAGTGCTTTACAACATTCTGAGAGTTTACTATGTCAGCATTATTATCCCCAACAATCTGGGCCCTTATTTTACTGATCTCAGAAGGATGGAAGGCTGAGTCAACCTTGAGCCCATGAAAATCAAACTCCAGGCTGTGGGCAGAATTTGCCTGTGTATGTCAACCTAGCCAACTTGAAGATGTTGCTGGCTGAAGAACTCTAGGAGATGAGGTCCACAGATTTTCAAATTGACAAATTAATTGTGACTGCAGTAATTAAAACAAGAAATGTTTACATTTGTCATATAATTACAGTATAGTCTATAATCCTATTTTATATATACAGAATCTGAAATGTGGCACCATTGAGCAAATACTGTTGCCAAATTAAGGAGTAAAAGCCAATTCAGTACATTCCAAGTCTGTTCAAGTGAAAAATATCATAGCAAAATCCATAAGGGAAAAAAAGAATACTATCAGAGAATGGGTCCAGGGATTATAGTAGAATATGATTTTATTGATAGTACTTCTTTATTTTCTGTATAACCCCTAGGAAAACCACTGAATTGATACCAATTTTCATAGGAACTGAATATTTTTAAATGAATCAGGAGCCTTGATAGAAAACAATCCAATCCTATAGTATCTCAGTTCTAAAACAGACTATCCATTTAAACCATCAGCTGGGAACTTTTTAGATTATATATTAAGTTCAGTGGTGAGATTCAGCCAGTTCACACCAGTTCAGCAGAACCGGTAGCTAACTTTTTGTTGCCCAGGCCCAGAATGGGCTTCTGGAAGCGGCATCCACGCAGAGAACCGGTTCTTCACATATTTGAATCCCACCACTGATTAGGTTATATACTGTATTTAGGTTATACATGGAGAATTGCAGCTCCTGCTACTTTTGAGAAAGTGATGAAAGCAGCACTGCACTATCAAATCTTTCCTCACTTTTGGACAATTACACTGAGTAACAATATGTACAAAGAGAGCTAGGCTTGTATCACAACAGGACAACAGAGCTTTTGTCAGATTGACCCATTTCACACACAGGTCCCAGATGCTTCTTATGCTGTTCTGCATATTTTTACTTAACCTCCAAGTAGCATGATTCTTATTTGTCCAAATCCAATTGAATGTTGGAAATAAATTATAGAAAAAAATCTTTTATGAGAATCTCATAAAATAAAATAAAATAAATAAAAATAAAAATAAATAAATAAAATGAAAAAAATCAAGATCAGATTTGGTGTGTTTGAGCAATGAAAGAACATATGCATTAAATGTTATGCTTCCCAGCGTGCATGTACACATAGAGGCAACACAAGGAGATAGCTTAAATACTCATGTCTATTGCTGGTAGAAGGGGTAGAAAAACACCCAGAACACATGCTGTGCTTGCTTTCCCTGTCTTTTTATTTTTCCAATCCAATTGAATATTGGTGAGATATAAAGAGATTCATAAAATAATATGATGGAAAGGAATCTTATAGTCCAATTCCTTTCCCAGGCAAACAGCTGTCTAACTTTGCTTGAATGCTTCCAATGATGGAGTACCTATGACAGTAGGAGGCCAGCTGTTCCACTGCACAATGGTTCTCATGGTCTGGAGTTCAAAATGGTGTGGATACAGAAAAATTCTCCCAGATTTGGTGTGACGTAATACGTCCAGTTTTTGTTTCTAGCATCAGAAAGATCCTTTTCCCATTCTCTTTGGATAAAAGGGTTGGCAGCCATATTTACCCCATAGGAACAGTGGTAGCTATTGCAGACACACAAATGAGGGAGACAGGAAGCACAAGTAGAAGTACTACACAGCTTTATTAAAGATACTACAAAAGTTAAGAATATGTAATTTAGTAGAAAAGAATGGAATTAGATTTAAAAATGTGGTGATTTATTCTGGATCCTTTTTTAAGAGAAAGCCACATTATTTCACTCATCATTTTCATGGTTCTAAACATATATGTGTTACAAAAGCACAAAAGATACCAAAAAGTCTTTGATGCAAGGCAAATTGAAATTCATGTATGAAGCTGAAGTATTCTTGGTAGATTTTCAGTTTCAGCTGTGATTTCTTGCCAAGAACAAAATTGACATGATCCATGTTGAGGATCATATTTGTGTTGGAGGAGCTGGATTTAATAAACCTATTTGGCCAAATCCATTAGGCCATCTAATGTGCTTCTAGTTGCTGAAAAACCTGATGTTTCCTGATGGCAATTGCCAGAATCTCCAGCCAGCATGCTAGCTAGATTGTTCAATTCATCTAGAAGGAATCAGATAAGAGAAGACACTCTAATGCATACTATATAGGAAAGATGTATTAAAAAATGGTTCTCCCCTCCCCAATGGAGAAATGTGTTTCCTCCTCCCAGTGGAAAAAATTATACTAGATTTAAAACTTTATTGGCACTTAAGCATATTTTTCCCTGATTGAAGCAGAATTTGTGAAACAATTATATGTCCATGACAAAAGCTGCTAATGATTAGCCTTCAAGAACTGCTGTTGTTTTCTGACAGTTCAGAAGCTGGTTTTGTTTATTTCAGGAAAGGAAGCATCAAATCTTTTATGGACTATCCAAACTGAACAGACAGAATAGCAGTGCTAATTATCTATTTCCATCATTTCACTAAAGCTCTTACTGTAAAATAGAAGACTTCGGTAACAATTTAGAATCCTAATTAATTCTTGTCAGCAAGTAATGCTTCTTTGAAGTAATAACATTCACTTTACTGCTCAGCACTAATATTGTGTCATAAAAGGTGGCAAACGCATAACCCAAGAAAAGAGAAAAGATTATATGAGACAGCACAAGTGAAAACATTATCAACTAAGCAAAGAGATGTGTTGGCAAAAGAAGAAAAATGGGAAAGAAATAAAGGTCAGTATATCATAAATTCTGATTCATGTTTGTTTTGCTAGTTGAGTTGTCAGTGGCTCTCACAAATGATTTTGCAGAGTTATTGTTTCACATGGAAATTAAATCTAAGTGAATATTTTATTTATACATTTATTTAAGAAATTTCTGAGCCAAAGTGGTGAAGGTAGATATGCCACAGCAATATGTTTATCTTAATAAGTTGTCACAATTTTCCCTAACAAAGAAATGTTGGGGGTAATTACCCTGAAATGTGTGTAACACAACATACCAAACAACACAGATATATGTAAATATAAGCTCTTTGTAAACAGCTTTCAGAAATTCATTTTCAAGATACATGTTATACAGACAAAAGGGTGGCAGGGATGTTTATCTCCCCAACCCCGGCAAATGAAATTATTTCAGTCCTGTCATTCATTTAGCAGTGAATTCAGATTGCTCCCATAAAATCTGTGGAGGAATTCCATTTACATTCCTGCCTCTAGATATTTAGGACTATTTCCTGTGCCTTTGATCAAACTGGCTGGACCAGCAGAATCCAAAGCATATAGAACATCTGTTCAAGTCTACAAAACCCCAGATCATTATTAAATGACAGCAATCTCTATGCTATCTTCTAGTAGTGCAGCTTAAATCTGGTAGCCCAATAAAATGTCTAGTAGCCTTACTCCCAAGCTCTTCATATATTACTAGGTAGGCTGGATAGGAAATATTTGGTTGCTTTCTTACAAAAACATGTTTGTGATATCCACAACAAGCAAAAAAAAAAAATCCTTGCTTAGCTTTGAAATCCTCCAGATAATTTCTGTCAGTCCTGCAAGGACCAGAACTTGCTAATTGTTTGTTAACATTGATGTGAAGTTTTGCATAATTTGTTGCAGTGAAGATCATATGTAGAAGATTGAAAAGGCCGAATACCAAGTTTCTGGGTCAACCCAGTTCCACAGCAGACAGTTGGCTTCATTGCATGACTACGATACAGCTCAAATAACTGTCATGAGACTGTCCCCACAAGATGTAATACCTAAGGTGGTCATTAAAACCAATGGGGGATTTGTTATTTGTTAAGATAATAGGACATAGATGGCAGATGTCATCTGACAGATCCATTCCTGCCTACAATATCATGTTACTCTGTGAACAAGCACAACAAAAATAGCAAGATTTTAATACCAGCATTTTAGCCTCCTTGATAAAGGGTTGCCACCTCCTAGAAATGAACAGCTGCAAGAAGAGAATGGTCATACTACATCCCCACGGAACTGATCTGGAGGAAATTATGGATTTTGAGCATTTCATTTTCTTTGTGCAGTAGTGATGGATAAATGTATATGATGACTATAATGACACAAATATGAGGTGATGAGTTGAAGTACATATTCAAACAAATATAGATAATATGGATATAGATAACTAGGACAACATAAATTTGTGAAAGGCACCTTATTATTGTGAAAGCAAGAATTTGCATGTGCAGTATACACAGTTCAGAGTATTAAAGATCTCTCTCCTCATCAATTTTTATTGTTATTGCTTTGAAAAAAAACTTCCATGTTTTTTATTTAAAAGTTTTATAAAGAATTACACCCCAAAACCCTCCCACCCTAACCTCCCTCCCCCTCCCCCACTTCCCAGAGCTGAATACAGGGTTATTACAAATATAATAATCAAACTCTAAATAACATTAACCAACTATAAAAT